TGCCTTAAACCCTCCCCCCTCGCCTTCTCCTAAATGTGCCATGTAATTCCTTTCAGTTTCTTCTGCTTGGGTGCCTTCAGAAGGTACAAATGTGGTGGGCTTTATGAGGTGACACATGGGAAAGCTTCCCATGTGCAGAACCACATGCACTGTAACAAACTCAGTGGGGAAGGTAACTTGATGCAAAGCTCAATGAGGTATATAATCACATCCTTATTTCTATGCTCGGTGGGGCGTTGATCTTCTCCCCTCCCTAGAGTGAGCAGCTATAATTAGGGCCTGGTAAATGCAGACAGCAGTTTCCTCCCCCTATTGCAAAACGCTCTGGCCTCTTTTGCCAGGGTACAATTCTCCATATAAATCTGGCTCCTCTGTGACAGGCAACGCAATGGGCATTCCTAGGAGATCACAACTGCCATGTGGTCTCTGCTATGCCTGTGACCACAGTGACCCCAATGTCATGGGTTTTTGTGAACTCTGTACCCTCTCCTCTTGTCTGCCTCTGACATTTTCTCTCTTTGCAGGACTTAAAGCCATGATTTCATTGCCTGGGTTCCTCCTTATTCTTTTTTTCCCTTTAGGTTGCGTATGGACAATAATTTCTAAGGTGCACAGGAAATAATTTCTGCTTTACTAGCCTTGGTCTAGATCCATTAGCAGATGAATCACTATAGAAGACAGAGTAGGAAGCAGGGAGAGGCAGTGGCCATTGCAGAAGCAGCAGCTTCCCATTAGGAAAACTTAACTGCTGCCATCTCCACTAACTTAATACAAATCAGTAACCTGATGGACCCTGCTAGAGGCCAAGCAGCATCTGGTCTCACCCCTGCCACCTAACATTACTTGAGTGGAAACTCTGCACTAATTTGCTACCCTACTACTTCTTTTTAAACACATCCAAACACCAAAACATAGGTATCTATGATGTGTTTGTTCATTACTTTTATATCTCACCTTTCTTCCAAAGAGCTCAAGGTGACAAGCATGGTTCTCCTGCCTCCATTTTACCCTTACAGCAACCCTGTGAGGTGCGTTAGGCTGAAAGACCATGAATGGCCCATGGTCACCCAGTGAACCTCATGGCCAAGTGGGACCAGAATCTTGATCTCCCAAGTCCTAGTCTGACACTATACCACATTGGCTCTCTCTAGGAGTGAGTTTGGACCATTATGAATTACTCTATGATACCACTCTAAATAGACATGGCTTCCCCAAATGATTTTGGGGCTGTAGTTTGTTAAGGATAATGAGAGGTTTTAGGAAACCTCACACTATCCCCCCAAGCTAAAGTCTCCAGAGTTCCCTGAGAAGAGGGGTTGATTGCTGAAGTACTTTGAGATCTGTAGCTCATTGAAAGGAACGGGGTTTCCTCAGCACCGTTAACAACTACACTTCCCATGGTCCTTTGGGGGAAGCCATTACTTTTTAAAGTAGTATCATAGCGCTTTAAATGTATGGTGTGAATGTGGTTTTAATGGAGGTTTGTATGATGGGCATTGAGACAGCTGTGTTATATTCTCTCCACTCCACCCACTCAAGTCTCTGAATAACCAAAAATCAATTCAAATCTCCCTCCCTCTCTCTCTCTCTGTGTGTGTGTGTGCGCGCGTGTGTGTGTGTGTGAGAGAGAGAGAGAGAGAGAGAATACTTTTTCCCCAGGACTGTACTCCCTCAAAAAGTACATGGCAAATTGTTTTGATAGTGCCCGTGAGTTAATTCCTTCTGTGGATGGAAAACTGACATGTTAGGGAGAAGTATTGGGGGGGGGGGGAGATTGCTTCTGTAAACTTGAACTCTGGGCTTAGATTTTGCTGCTAAGAAATCCAGTCACCCACACAACCTGTAAAACTCTGGGCCTCTGAAAGAGCAGCTCTGTCGACTTTGCCCCTTGCGCTGAATTCTAAGCACGTCAACAAGAGGGAATGAGGAGAGAGGGTGATAAACAACAGACTTATATGTTGTGTTTGGACCTCATAAGCCAAAGGAAGAGGGATGCGGAGAAATTTTTGGCTTGGGGAAAAATTCCAGTTCTGAATAAAGTATCCAGAGATAGAACTCTTCCAAATCTTCTTATTAGTCACTAGTGGCCCTCCCTTTCTGAACTGAAATAACACTCTTCTGATCCTTCCATTATCGCACCATATCTAATTACTTACTTATTAAGCTCTTATCCCACATGGCACCACGGTGCAGCCGGCCAACATCTGCCAGCTTCTAATTAATTCTTGCAGACAAGCTTGGAAACCTTAACCGCCTCTTGAGATAACACATAACAGCTGCCTCCCATCAAACATTTATGACCTGTAAAAAAGAAATGGGTTGCAGCCACAGTGGCTGAAGACACCAGGCTGACCGGGCAGAGGCAGAAAACGCCTCTCTGGCCAAGTATAACTCAAGGGGGTGGATTTACCCAGGGATCAGTTAAAGGTATTCATAGCAGGAAATTTGCCCAGCACTGGAGCGTACAATATTAGAAATTATTTTATTTTCTATCACAAATGAGTGTGTGTGTTTGTGTATATACATACAGTAGTTAAAGGAAAGTATCTTTAGAAAGTTGTCAAAGATCAGATGTCACTTAATGTAGTGAGGGCAATTCTTGCGTGGGCTGTGGTAAAAATTTCATTTTTTGCAGTCTTGTCCCTCAGTATTCCTGATTGCGGCAAAGCCTGTGGAGTCTCTAAAAAGAAACAGCTGTCCATTTTAGCAGTCTATTATTTCTGGATGCAACACCCCTCCCCCCCCGCAAAGAACTCTCAGAGAATCAAGAAATACAACATGACACATGACACAGATCACATACTTTGAAATCCCCCTCTTATTATAACATGATGTGCTTGTTTTAACGTCTCTGGCATCTGGCATGGCCTCTCTATGATCACCATGACATGCAACCAGCAGCCCCATTTTGTGTCATGAAGGGAAACGCCAGATTCCACAGTAATATTATATGTCAGCCTTGAGGTAGAAAGGGAGGGACAGATTGCTTCTAGTAAGTATCATTTTACACTGACATAATAAATGAGATCTTATTTCTTCAGCCGTAAGGGCTAAATACATTATGAGTAACTAAAAGAGTGAAAACTGGGGAAGAAATAGAACTCCAAGGGAGCTGAGATTCTCCTTCTGTGTGAGACACTGATCTGGGCAGCATTTAGTTTATTGATTACATCTGTATTATACACCTCTTCAAGGAGCAGAAAGTGTCATATGGGAGGAGATTATCCTCAAGTTGAGTCGGGAGTGATTGATCTTCATTGTTGAACGGGGATTTGAACCAAGATCCTCCCAGTCCAAGAGCAGGGATGGGCAAATCTGTCAATTTCAGACCTCTCATTTTCTCTTTTTAAATCTTAAATTCAGTTCTCTACATTTCTGCAGCAATTTGCATTTAAAAAAATAAAAAAAATCCTTATGAAATTTGTCAGAATCATAGTGTGAATTTCTCTTGATAAACATTTTGTGTGTGCAGTTTTGACAATATAATGCAAGCAGCTTCCCCGATATAATGCATATTTATATATCATTTTCACTAATATCTGTTTTATGCACGTTTCCCCTAATATATACAATTTGTACATATTGTTTGGTTGGGGAACTACATTGCAAAATTCAGAATAATGAAGGATAGCAGTGTTTTGGTTCCCACATTGGTCTGAGAAGTATGAATTAGTTTCTCATTAAAATGTAAACCAAATGGAATTTCTCCTCCCCTTACTGGCTACTGTCATTCATATTATCATATTATATATGGGAGGGGAAAGAGACCTGAGGGAGACAATGGATTGCTTAAAGCAGGGGTAGGCAACCTAAGACCCGGGGGCTGGATGCGGCCCAATCCGGATGCGGCCCAATCACCTTCTCAATCTGGCCCATGGATGGTCCGGGAATCAGTGTGTTTTTACATGAGTAGAATGTGTGCTTTTATTTAAAATACATATCTGGGTTATTTGTGGGGCATAGGAATTCGTTCATTTCTTTTTTCAAAATATGTCCAGTCCCCCACATGGTCTGAGGGACAGTGGACCAGCCCACAGCTGAAAAAGGTTGCTGACCTCTGGCCTTAAAGCTACCTACAAGCGCTTGTGCCTGTAGTGAGGTTTGTACCATGGACTTTATTTTTAGCTCCCTGCTCACTCTCTTAACCATTATGTTGCACTAGTTTACTGAACTGCAACCTGTCTTCCTATAGCAGGGATGGGAATCTGTAGCCCTCTAGAAGTTTCTAGACTACAATTCCTATCATCCCTTATTGGCCATGTTGATGGGGATTGGAGATCAGCATCTGGAGGGCCTATTGGAATGTCTGGGTATCTTACGTAACCAATGAGTTGTGGAATCTGCTTCCTAGAGAAGTTTAGGGTCAGCAACCATGCAGGAAAACAATAATTTTGCTTTGGGGCCAGTTGCCCAAAAGCCAAGCTTGTTTTTCCTCTCCCATGTCCACATTTTTAAAGCAGTGTATCTCAGGGGTGGGGAACCTCAGGCCTGTGGACTGAACGCAACCCACCTATCTCCTCTGGATTACCCCATGGCCACACTCACTGGTGGAGGAAGGGGGTGCTGTGGGTGGGGCCCACCCCGGGTGTCATCCCTGAGGGGGTGTGAAATCGCTGCCCCGCCCCTGTGGGCACCGCTCCGGGTGTCAGAGCAGCTAGCTCCGCTTCTGGCCACACTCCCTTCCCAGAAACCCCCCTCACTGGCCCTGCATCACATCCTTGAGTTTCAAAGGTATCCCTGACCAATGGCCATGCTAGCTGGGGCTGAAAGAATTTGTAGTCCAACAGCATCTGGGTGGGTGCGGGGTACAACTCTTGTGAAGAGTTAGCTACTTTTATTTTAGGGCAACAGCTTTTGTGCTGCTCTCAATTTCTGAAGCTCTCTAAATTTGCTGAGCTCTGTCCCCAGGCCTTTTGGAAGTAGGAAGCTGTGTCATACCAAATGAGACCATTGGGCAATCTAGCCCAGTATTCTCTTCACAGACTGGCAGCAGATCTTCAGGGGAATGCTAGGGATTGAAACAGATACCTTCTGCATGCAAAGCAGATGCTTTACTACTGAGCTACAACCCTCCCCAAAACCACTGAGCTCCACACTCTTGGCTCCACACCCCCCCAACACCAACACCCCCTACTCCCAATAGCAGAATGTGTTATTTCAAGAGATGATTTGGAAACCAGAAAAAAAGCTTTTGCAGGCAAGCTATGTCTTTATTTTGCTTTAAGAGGATTCTTATGACTTTGATTCTTAAATAGACTTTAGCTTTGAATGATGTTCTGTGTGGTTTTATAAAATGGTTGGTTTCCACATTTTCAATTGGTATGTTTCATGGTATTTATGTCTTCTTTTATTATGGCTTTATCCTGCTTCTCCTCCAACTAGCTGGAGCTAATGTAGATGATGTCTCTCCCCCCCCCCCACGCTTTTATCCTAAAAGCACCTCGTGAGGTAGGTTACACTGAGAACTGGAGACCGGACCACCGTCCGCCAGTGAGCTTCAGGACCAAGTCCAAGCCAACACACTAAGCACTTCACCACAGTGGCTGTTCATGGCTTGAATTGAAAGTCTCTGCTGTAAGGAGGCTACGCTTCTTTTCTTTTTAAGCAGCAACTCAGCAGACATATAGCAGCAGTGAAACCAAGGCTTTTCCTGTTGATAGAATAGATCACAGGCTTCAGGTTGCTTCACTGATCAGCCACAAGGAGCCGCTGGTGACTAACACTCAGGCACTTCAGTCTAGTTTAAGAACTATTGTTCAGTCTATAATCCCTGTTTACGGAACAGAAATTTGTGAGCTTTTGATTACTAATATACTCTATAGTGAAGAAACTACCACCACAATTTGTGCTGAGTTGTTGTGAATGGTTAAAAATCTATTCTGAACAATACTATCCTGAGGTAGAAGGACAGAATGGCCTTTTCTTTGTAGTAAGAACTATTGGATTAAAACAACACGTGGATACAATACATTCAATGTTGGGTGAGTCTGTAGGAATTATTAGGGATCTTGCATATTGCTCATATGTTTTAAGCTGAAGTGTGTGTTCTTTATTATTCTTCTGCCCCGGAAAGACTGTTTTCTGAAGTCATGTTATCAGAATATCCTAGAGTTCTGTTTTCCACTTGGTGAAGACGGGAACCCTAGAAAATAGGATCCTATGCAGTTAACATTGTCATGAATGCCCCATCCCAATTTGGATCCAGAGAGTCCTTTTTAAAACAATAAACATCAAGCAATACATATTTTGCACAATAGGAAACTTGCTATTTCTGATGAGGGATTTCAAAATATAGGAGAGCAGTACACATTATCTAGAAGAAGGCATTCAAAAGTTCTTAGATAAGCTCATCTTTCCAGAAAGACAAAAGGAACATGGAGGTCAGATGTCAGACCCTTCTGTGTTTACGTAAGCTATAAATGGAAACTGCAGTCCAGTGAAGTACTGTGCCATTCCTCTAATCTATTATTACGTCTGAATTCTTCGGCTATGGTGGTGTTCCAGATTCTTGTCTATCAGCCCTGCAGTGAAAACCCCAATGAAGTCTTCCAGCCCTCAACAAGCGCGATCCTGGCTGCCACCAATATAAACATTACCAGGTCTTTGTTTGGAATGTTTGTTTGTAGCTGTGAATATGGATAGTAATGCTGTTAAAGCACCTTCAAGTTATTTTGCTGCGTTCCTTCAGAGATCTTCCAGAATCATATCCCAGAAGTTTGGTAGATAGCGGTATGACCACATATGCATTAGTGTGTCCCTACTCACATCCCCTCCAACACTTAGGTGGGAAGGTATTGTCCACACAGTGTAATTTCGCAAGGGTAAGGTGCAAGCAATGTATCAGTCTGAGGTTGAGATGGTTTTAAGCGACATCATCAGACAACCATTTTCCTTCCAGAACATGAAGACCTTTGCGGTTACTGTGTAGTAAGAATCAAGTGCATTTATGCAGGACTAGCCCTACAATTTGGCGGAGTTAGTTAGTATCCTGGCTCAGATGCAGTTCTTGATTTGCAGAAACCCAAAAGCTTTATTCAAGCAATCAGTACATGGCCTCGGAGTTGGATCAAAGTATGGGATACAGGATACATACATCTACAACAGAACTCTAGGGTTCACAACAAGGTGATAGCTAAAATGTTGTCACAACACTTGACACATCCCTCCCATTTTACTTTTAAAGAACAGGCTGGGTCCAGTCATTTTCATGGTTCTCATCCCAAGCGAGAATACTGAGCTTACAAGTGTGTGCTCCTGTGGATGGGCTGTGGATGCCAAGCAACCTTGGCAACAGGACCTCAGTCAGTCCCTCCAAGTCCCCTTCTGCCTCTGGTTCAGCTAATTGGCCACCTACCTCTTTGGCGACAGTGGAAACCTCACTCTCCAAAGGCAGGGCAAAAACTGGCCCGCATGGTTCTCCATCCCCTTCTGTGACATCTGGCAATAATGTCTGACCCACCCACCTGTCAAGTTGGTCCACAAAGTGTGGCTGGAAAAAGCTCTGGCCCTTGGATGAATGCTCAAGGTAGCATAGCCCCCCTCATCAACAAGACAAGACAGAAGGAATGCTCCATAAAGACAGGACACTGATTAACTTCTGTGAAAGTATTGTACAGGTAACTCAGGATGAGGCTCAGTAAGAAGGTCATCTGGAGGAGCTCATGACGTTGTTTTTGAAGAAATATCCTAAAATTTGAGTGTGTTTCTTATGTTCTAAAGAAACTCTGTCCATTCTGGAAACATAACAAAATGATCAAGAGAAACTGAAGCCCCTGCCCATGTGATTCTGGACCAAAGATTTCTCCAAATCAAAATACAGTCAACACAACAGAGGTTGTCAGTGTCACACACCCCATTTAAGATGTGAACTGGCGGCACTGGAATGACACAACTTGTTTACCTGCCTGCTCTTACCATACAAAGAGTCTCATTTTTATCGCCTTTTCAAAACAAAATATTCTAGCAGTTTAGAAGACTGACATAGGAATGAAAGGTGTCGTGTGTGGGCAGGGACGGATTAACCGTTCTTTGGGCCCTGCTCCCAAAGAACGCTGGCCTTCCCATGCCTCCAGACAAAAATGGCTTTTATTTTTAAATATCTATAAATATCACAAGACTGCTTTCGTTCCACTGCAATTAAGAGGGATATTTTTTACTAGCCCATATTTCCCAAATGCTATTAAACTGAATTACTGAAGGAGGGGTGTGTTTGGCATCAACGGGAGATCCTGGGATGGGACTTTGGGGTGTGTGTATGTGTGTACACACCTGAAGCCAATAGAAAAGCAAAGCAAACCTGGGATATGATAAGATAAACTCTCTGGAATTAGCCAGTGCACAAACTGCTGATGTGCTGGGAAAATAGCTATGAACTGATTCACTTATGAAGCAGATTTAATTTTAGCACATCTGATAACTTCACTTATACTCAGTAGTGCATTTCTCTGTAGAACAGGAGATGGCTGAATTCCCGGTGGGCAGTTCACAGTAGCAAACACTGCAAGAGGGAAATGCAAGTTATGGAGTACAGCATCATTCTTTAAAAGAAAAGATTAAGATGATGGCATAAAACAATACAGGCCTGTTCAATGGTTCTTGAGTTTGACAGTTATAAATGCTGGCAAATTGCACCAGGTCCACTTTTAGGCACCAGCACTGGTGCCACCTTCTCCCTTTCCCAGGTCCAGTATTTAAAACTAACCATCCTTGGGCAGGTGCCAGGGCTTCAGTGCCCTGCTTGGGACCACTCTCACACCTGCCCTATCCCCCTTAAAAATGATCTCCACCAGCTCAGTTTTCCAGGCAACACTAGGAAGATGGATCTGGTCACCATATTCATTCTCCACTATGCCTCCAATACAACATTACTCTGGGGCCAGACCCTCCAAGTATCCCTATTTTCCAGGGACAGTCCTGGATTTACAGAAGCCATCCTGGTTTCTGATTTGATCCTGGAATGTCCCACTTTTCCTTAGGACGTCCCTATTTTCATTGGAGAAATGTGGGAGGGTATGGAGTTATGTGACCCTCGAGTCAAGGAGATAAGTAACTATACAACCTTTGGCAGACATCCGAAGGCAGCCCTGTATAGGGAAGCTTTTTAATGTTTTTATATCTATCTATCTTATATATATGTTGGAAGTCTCCCAAAGTGGCTGGGGCAACCCAATCAGATGGGTAGGATATAAATATGATGATGGTGGTGGAATAGGATGTCCCTATTTACATCAGAGAAATGTTGGAGGGTATGTGGGGCATTGTAAGGATTTAAAATGCCTCCTACCTGCAGCCACCCAGAGCCTCTTGGCCTTGCAATGCCATTAAAACCAGAGAAGAAGCAACCCACCCAGAGCTCCTCAGTGCATTGCTGCTGATGACTGCTGATGTGATTACCACCAAGAAAGTCTTCTGGGGCCTATTGAAGGAGGAGGCAACCCTCTGACAAAGGGAACAGTCCTTTGTCCAGGGCCCCATCAAAACCTGTAGTCAACCCTGCCCCCCCCTGGAAACTCCCTTTCAAGCTGTCTTTTTTTGAAAGCAGCTTTCCATGTGGTGTTTAGGCCTTGTGTAGATGACCTAAAGGACTGATAGAAGGGGAGAGGTGGGGTGGAAACAGCCATACCAGCTGCATGGATCTCCTAGTGTGGTCTTCTGGATCACAGTCCTTGTCCTCAAAATTCACACAGGTGCAATCCACTGTCTGGTTCTTGTCATTTTTGTGTGTGTGTGAAATTGGAGAACAGTAGAGCCACACAAAGAGCTAAATAGAGAGTAGCCATTTCAAGGCAGCAGCAGCAGCAGCAGCAATATTCATTCTATGTGCTTCTTATTGGCCCAGAAGCAAGGAATGGCACTGCTGTGGTCCTAGCTCCAGTTACCTTACTGTAAGCCCCACTGAATTGAGACTTACTTCCAAGTAGACATGGTTAGCACTGCAGCCTAAGGCAATGTGCACATTAGTGGCTAAAACTGCACTGAGGTTGTTCCCTCCGCCATCCAGCTGCATTTTGAGCTGTGTTTGCATGTTGCTGTACACACCAGAGGGCCCAGGGATGTCACCACCCAAGCTCATGTT